ACATTTAATTATTTTTCCTAGGGATGTTTGTACCATTCTCCGAAGTGATTCGCTGACATAGCTATTTACGTATTAAATTCCCAGGAATGAAATGGTAAATACCTTAACTTTGGAAAACTGAAAAAATTACTACTTTTTACTTGAACGGCCACAAAACATAAAATTTATTAAGGTCTAGAAATTATAATACTGCTGCGAAATGACCACGGTTTTTGGATTTTTCAATTTTAACACTTAGATCTCTCTTAAGCTAGTTATTAAGATTTTTGCTTCTTCATATTATAATTACCATTATAATAAGGATTTCTAGAATTTCCATCATTAGGATATTCAATTACGTATATTTAGCATAATTCGTCAACAATAAGCTAGATATAATTTTCAACCTCGACTTTCTATCTGATAAGATCAAAACAAATTCTCAAAAACCCGTGATAAATTTGAAATTTCCAAATTAAGTTATGAGATAACCTTGAATTTTGCCAAGGTCTCACAAGTCTTTGAAAAACGATTGCTTACTGAAAAAGCCCTAACTCCTAGCATCTTTGGAACGACCTTATCCGCTACATTCAGGATGCTGCCCTTTGTTGCTCAATTTGGGAACACAATTAGCCATAATTGAACGGACTTTGTTAACGCAAGAACAAATGGGGGCGTACAATGGTTTGATAAAATCGGGGAGCGTCGTGCGCCGCGGCGGATATTGAAGTCTGTAAGGCGGTGCTACTACTGTGTTGACCATTTTTTATTGTTAGCTGCAATAGTACATTTAATTTTAAAGTCAATAAAAATAATAGAGCATACTACGATTTATTTTTAAAAAGCGTTGAGCCATACATATCCTAAAATTAGACTTACCAATCGAGATTTACCTCTGTAAATCTACAAGGCGAAAAGTGTCTATTTACGAAAACCTTCAAAATGTATTACACAATCCAGGTAAAGGTAGTGTCACAGACAACTTAGGTGGGGATTACTGTCTAGAGTGTAGTTTACAATGTACAGATTGTATTTATGTACAGCGTCCTGTACGTGAGCGCAGTGAGAATGTACATACACCTCTTGACCTCTGTCGCGCTGCACCTTGCATACTCAGTGTAAACTCTTATAATACCACTTTGATGAAAGTTAGCTGTAATAAAAAAAAACTGTTTTCTATGGTTTTAAAATGTATTCAGTTCTTTTGTTTCATTACCTTCTGAACAAATAATATTTTCTAACAATAATCATTACACTTTTCAGCAATTACAGTTTCGTCTTACGTACGTTCTAAAAGAGGTGCATAATTATCACGATTATTGGCACTTTCCATCGTTATAGGTCAATATAACGAGATAAGATAGATCCAAGAGTCAAACTAAAACTTTACTCTTTACTATATCTTAGGAATTTTTTTTGAGTAGTTTTCTTTTACCTTGTCGTTTAAGAACGATAAATGTTTTTTTACCCAAGAGGTTTTCTATTGTATTTATGAAATGTTGTTAATAAATATATTTAAAGTGTTGGTAATAGTGAACTTATATTTTTAATTGCGGAACAAAACCTTAAGCAAATTGGCCAGTAACTCTACAACTACGAAATTGACACATTTATCTTAATAATTGTTAAGAAAACCTTTAAATGTTAAATCAACCAAAATGTTAATGTTAGTAGAAAAAATCCTATTGATAAAATATTATTGTTCTAAAGATTCAAAAATGGTGTTTGCGAAAAATAAAGTTTTGCTAAATTCTTCCGTCAAGAAAATTGAATAGTTATTGTTGGCCACAAATAAAAGAAATATTTATATAGCCAAATAAATGTTTTTAAATTGTTAAGTTTTTTACTCGTGCATATAATGCATACGGTATATCGTTTTATACGTAATTGTATCTTGACCATTAGTCTTTGAAGTACAAAGGAAATGTATTATTTTACACCTTACACTAGTCAGTAATGTTCAAAGAAAATTAAAAAGCTACGTGCAATTAAAAGAGAGCACGAGGTACTGGCTTTAGTGACACGTCGTAGGGACTAGCCCCGTCAGCGATAAAATCTCCCATTGCCCACCTGAATATCCAAGGGGAGATTTAAAGTTTGAATGCACCTAAATAAATTGACTTGTGACGTTACATCAAAATACTTGAAGTTGTCTAAATTTTTTAATTCAACAAAATACATACAATATGAAAAGACGGAGGACACATGTTGCCCAATTTTTTTTAACTTGGTTGAGTATTTTTATAAATGTCCATACACATTTTAGCTATTTGCGTTCATTTATTTTTAACTAGAATACCATTTTCATACACAGTTATGTAACCATATTTTCTTTAAAATTTCACAAAAATAGTTTTGTATCATTATACATATGCACCACCGAGTAATCTAGCTCATAGAATACCATTACCTACATAGTAAATATTATCTCCATTTAAAGTGATACCGTTTTAAAAAAAGCTACAGGTAAAAACCTAAGATTTTATGTGCTTGTTGTTAAACTATTTGATCATAGCCTTTAAGCACATAATTTATAATGTTTCAAAAATCTAATTACAATAATATTGTACGCACTAGTAGAATTTAGTAAAGTTATGCAACACTTATCTAATAATGTTTTCCTGGACGATGTCCAGCTAAAATATTTCTGATAAGAAAGTTTGTTTTAATATGAAATATTATTACATTAGTGTAACAAATTCCACTTATGATTGGTTGTAATAAAAAAAAAGAATAACAATCAAATTTCTTAAAATAAGAGATCATAATGAGACCCAGTCACTAAAGGACTACCTTGGTTGCGCTGGTACTAAACCCTTTCCTTGATAACATCTACCCTTCGTCTTCCTAACTCTCTTGGTGGAGATTTAACAAAGACAGAAACACTGAAATATACCCTCCGTGTCTTCCGCTGGAATTGTGCTAGCAGCTTAATAAATTCATTTTATTTTGTTAACATATTCTGAACCTTAACAGTTGTTTGAAATATAAAAACATATATTTTTTCTAAATACCTGTTTTTATAACAGAGTATAAATGTACTTCATTGATCTCTACTAAGAAAATTAAAACATTTTTTTTATATAAATTTTGATATAGAATGAGTTTAGTTTATCCTAAGCCTGGCAGCTAACTTGCGTTAAGGTAAGTAATACTAGAAATCTGTGTTAAAAAACATTCTAGCATTGATGATGAAGTAATAACGATCAAATAAAAACAATGTAAATTTTCATAAAATACAATAATCAAATTTTAAAAATTAACATTATTTTAAAATGGGATTAAATGAAAATAAAAAAAAATTTTGTAATAAATATTTGTTTATAAAATTCTGCTACGTCTAATTCTATCAACTTTGTTGACAGAAAATGTTATTCATTTTGTTTTATACTCTGAAAATCATTAGGGATAAATCTACGAATTGTAATCTATAATTACATTTATCGTTAATAGCAAAGAGAAATAACCCTCAAGTCTTACTTAGTTTTTTATTCCGAGAACAATGTTTTTTACGTACTAATAGTGGAAATGAAAGTGGATTCTAGCTCCATCAATAAGAGGCAGAAAGATCATTAATTGAAAGTCCAAAGATAAATGGACACTGGGTCAAGTGCCGTACCTTCAGCGGATATTTCCTTAAATCGATCTAGTTAGATACTCCATCTTGTATCAGGAGACCGTCTGAATTATTGTACGATTTAACAAAATAGTTTATTTCTTAATACAATTAAAGAACCCCCTAATGTTATTTTAAAGTTTGCATCATTCCTATTTTTAGAGTGGACAGGTCAAGAACTCAAATTCAAATAAAAAGTATTTTAAAATATTTTATACTCTACACTTTGAATGTTATCATAATTTTTATCAACAAAAAATATTACCTTTAATTGTTTAGATTGTTTTGATGTAGAACCCAAAAAAAAATTAAATACAAAATTCTATATGAATACAAAATATATTTTGGTTTTGCTTATTTAAATCTATAGAATGACAGATGCTATATACGATGTATCACAGTCTAGTTGGACAGGCTAATCCTTGGCTAAAGGGTAAACCACGCCGTTGTCACTGGCAGCCTGGCTTTATATTAGAGCTGAGCGCATTGCGGACGGGCTTTCTGGGAAACCTTTCACTTGTAATATTACCAGACTTGACTTGGAAAACAACGAAATTCTTCAAAGAATACTAAAATAATTCATCGTGCTTTTACCAGGACAATAAAATAAAGATATATTTCTCTGAAAAAGAGTGTTATTGGAATCTTTTAGTTTATTAGATATACCATTCCTTGTTTACGGATAAAATCAATTGTATAACCATCGCTAAGCTGTAATGATTTGTTTTTTACAAGAATTTTACTTGGTATCCGTTCAATTTAAAATCATACTTTTAAAATTACTCAAAAATAACGTAAAATGAACTAAATCATGGAGTTTTAACTATATATATATTTCCTAAGTAATATTAATGTTTTTACGTGACATTTATATTACTTTCTTTACGATACGTAATCATTAGGTTAGAATTTAACACAGTAGCTGATTCTTTTTCCATACGCATTTCTGCATTGGAACAGTTATTGTATTATGAATTATGTGGTGAGTCAGTGGCTCAGTAGTTGCTGATTTTTCCTGGCACCTGCCACTGTTATTTATCAGTACCCTTGTACTGTACCGGCTAACTTCTTGCTTTTTAGGATACGTTCCACTCTCAGGTCCTCTGTGGCCCATGTGACTGGTTAAATGCAAAGTAAAAGAAGCTGGTAGCTTTTTTATACAAAACTGTAGGCTTACAGTCATCCATGAGGATTCTTGAAAATAATACAAAACCATGTTTAAAAATGTTTATAACTTTGTCAAAAAAATTTTAGTATCTTTATTTGTTTTTATTAAAACTCTATTAAACTCTCTTACTAACTGTCCCCGTCTAACTATTAGCCTTAGTAATATTTTTAGCTTAAATACTATAATAACCGAAAATATTTGTATTGCTGATAATATACTGGGAATAATAAAGTGAACCATTGTAAAAAATATTTTACTGATCTCTATGTACACAGTACATATACATTACGTTTGTACATTTCTACTAAGACACAAACATCTCATATACAGTTATTGTACAACAATCTACAAATTTCTACATACTCGGTTAAACAGTATAACACGATTGTTATCATAAATAAAGATCTACAAATCACCTTTTAAATAAATAGTATAAAAATCTATGACACTATACATTAACTTCGTGGCCTCTATAAAGGAATACAAAAATATCAATGCGCCATACATCCAATTTACTCAATTCCAGTTATATTTAGTACTGGGAACTTTGAAGTTTTATTGGCCTAGGCCCTTAAGGAACTACTTGGTTCTAGAAATACGCGTACATTATCATTTCGCTATATATTGACTTATAAAAATCAGGCGGGGTAAGAAATTCTAGAAAATATTTACATTTCGTAATATGTAAATGGTTAAACTGTATAATGGTAGAGGAACATGTATATCTTACAGACTTATGTTATTGATTGGCTTGAGTATACTTAGTTTAATATTGTTTTATTGTAGTATTGTACGGTATTAACCTTTTACAACAAATCTATCCCTTGTAGATATTGTACTTTTAAAATATTTTAGTATTTTATGGAAAAAAATGAAACATTTAAAATAAATATCTGACCATTTCTTACCTATTACATAAACTTATTATTTTTAATATATATTTGTTTATTCTTACAATTTTTACAAATTTATGTCTTGTAACTAATAAAATATAGGATGTACATAAATATACAAGATATGATGAGAATAATGTATATACCAATGTAAATTCGTTAAGAGGTATTTTCGTTGTACGTGAATGTAATGATTTCAAATATAGAGATACCTAATTGAAAGAAATACCTTTACCAATAAATATTAGTACATAATTGTATGTATATTAGTACATAAAATGCATATTAATCAATGTAACATTTATAGTAAGCCAGCCTATAAAAAAATATATTAGAGAAGTATACAGTTCCTAGCTTTTGTTCAAAGAGTATAAATAATACAGTGATATTTAATATAACGCTATCACGTATATTTGCATTTGATACTTTACTTGTTGTTTATTTGTCAAATTATAATTGATACGTAAAGTCAAAGACCATTCTTTAACTTTATTCAAGCCAAATGTATTTTTGTTAAACAGCTCGAGTCAAGAAATGTTTAATCATATTTTAGAAGAAACACTTATACTAATCGATTCAAAGATACTGTAGTGTATGTTATACTTTATAACAGAGTCTAATTATTGTTCATATGTAATTAGTAAACTCATATTAACAATAACGAAGTCTATACTCTGCATATTACTACATCCAAATATTACTCTAGTTTGGTTACAGCACACTTCAAAATATGTCTATCACAATATTGTTAGCTTAAATCACTTTTTTCATGAAGTAACGTACCTCCAGTATGTTATTGTTGGGCCGAAGTATAGTATCTGATTCATTTTCATCAACGTATTTGATGTTTATGTTTAGAATTATTAGTGTTGACCAGTAGCTAACTACAGCCAAGGTCCTAGTTGCTTCTCTATTAGTGATGCTGCATCATTTCTACCCATGACTCTCAATATGTTGACCAGGTCAGTAACAGCTGAGGGTTCCCTGTGTCTGGCTTCCCATAGGTCAAGGATGTGCTCTGTTGGGCTCGGCTTGGTGGCGAAATAGTTCAGATATCTGCCAAAAAAAATAAAAGCTCTGAATTAGTTGTATCTAAGAAAATATTTTTAAGGTAATAGATTTAAATCCAATTTCCATTTTACAGTTAAGGGTGTACCCAACGTTGATGGTATTACTGATTTCTCGGTATAGGTTAAGTACAGTGGAACCTCGATAACAAATTAGACTCTCAAGGGGATTATAATATTGACACATTCATATATAAATCCCAAAGTACCCATGAAATTTTGAAAAAAAACTTCAAGTCACGCCTCCATAAACCACACACTTAAAATGTTCGTCATGACGAGAAACCTTGCGCATAACATTATTTCATAAATTGCCCTTTAAGGTCGTAATTCCTTTCGAAAGGGAACTTTCCATATACCTAATGTTAGAAATACCTCATCTGTACTATTGGTTTGTTATTCTTTCAATTTATTACCTTATTAAAATCAAGTGTGATGATTTGTTTGTATTACTGTGATTATCTGTTTTTGTTTATTTCAGCTTAACTTAACCAATAAATAGTTTTATTAATACATACAAAGTCAAACGGGGTGAAGCCCGTGGGTAACAGCTAGTTTTAAAAATACCTATATATTGATTTGAAAACTCTTTTAAACTTAACTCCAAACAAAGTGCTAAAAGAAACCACTGTTTCAAACAGACAACGAATTTAGATATTGTTCACCACGAGAGTTTTGTTTGTATGGTTGGTTTACCTGTCTATATTTAGTTTCTGGGCCAACATTCTCCAGTCGTTGCAGGAGGTGTTGGGCGGGTCCAGACATTGACTGAGCTGCCTCCTCAGTGTTCTGCTAAATCTAGAATAAAGAAAGATACGTAAAAATTTCATTTTTGTTTTAAAAAGCAATACTCTTTATAATTTATTTACTAAATTTTACCAAAAATGAATATTTCAAGTATTGTTTTTACTGTTTTCATTACTTTTGTTTATTATTTATTACATTCCAACAACATTAATTCTTAAAACTCACTTGAAAGGCTTGGTGTCGCACGTAGTAACACTAGAGCCACAACCACTGCTGCTCGTGACGGTTCGACAGCCCTGGATTCCCTGGAACAAAAAGGAAAAGTCACGAATTAAATGTTAAGTTTTTTTAGGTGTTGGGTGACTTTTTATCAAGCCTCTGTAGAACAAATTCATCAAAAAATGCACAAAAATGACTCGTTGACATGTTAATTATTCAGGATAAGAAATTTAATCGTTTGAACATAAAATATTTATTTTTTTATAAAAAGAGTTTGGTAGCCTCTTTTAACCTTGCATTTGCCCGTCCACATAGACTAAAGATCCGTGCGTGGAACCTAGGAACGTATCCAGCAAAGCAAGGGGTGAGCCGGTACAGTACGAAGGTGAACTGTACTGATAAAATGTTTGTGCTAGTGGCCAGGATCCAAACCCACGACATCGCTGCCTTGGACCCCAAGTCCGTGACGCTACCAACTGAGCCAACGCACCGAAAAAATCCAAAACTAAAAAATTACTCTTGAGGATAGCAAAGTGAAAAAATATTATTCTCCATTGATATTGTCGAATCTATGAAAATGCTTATAGGCCAATTTTTATCTTTCACCGTGGTACGTTTTCTACTGTATAATTTATATGTAAGAATACTTTGTTTTAGGCAATGCTCGGTTCTAATCTAACCCAGCCGAACCTAAACTAAGTGTTACTACTACTAACTTTACCCTAAATAATAGTTTTGGATAATTATAAGATTGCAACCTGTGAAACGAGGTGGTAGTCGTATAACGGTAAAAAAATATCATAATTATTTATTTTGGGCTTAATTTAATAAAGCAAAAGGTGCACTTCAATGTCCTAATTATGATTTCCTAATATACAAAACACTCTGAAATCATAAACACTCACGAAAGAAGAGCTGCTAGAGTCCGAGGAGAGGTCGGAGTTGACTCTGAAGATGAGTCGCTGGTTGTGACATCCCGCTTGACTGACGAGGAGTCTGAAGCAGACTGAGGGTGCTTGACGATCAACCCTCTCCAGGGTGAACTGGCAATGTAGGTGGTTCTGACTGCTGTGCCATACGTGGTGAAACGGCACCTCCTGAGAATAGGTAGACCACTTCATAGAATGTGATTGAAAAGGTTTACTACAGCACTACAGTTTTTAGTAAAGTAGATCAAGGTTATCTGCAAACTGTTGCGAATTGGATAAACTACAATTCAACTAATTGATTTTTTATGTCAAAAAACATGCACATCCAAAATTACATCCAGATACACCTATCTTACTCTAGATCTTTTTTGTATGGTTTTAAACCAATGAACTACCTGATAATCTGCTTGTAGCTTGCTTCTCCAGCCTGGTCCAATGTCTTCAAGACTTAAGCACAAATTTCCACCACCTTCTTGGAACAGTAGAGTCTTCGTTTTGTCCATCAAACATCCTCTGAGCTGCTTCTCCATTTGAATAACACCCTGTAAAAAATAATTTAATAAAGTAACAAAAATGTAAGGTAGGGTATTTATGTAAGGGGGAGAATATTAGTTACCACAGTCCCAAGAACAACCATCCAAATAATTTAGGCAATAATTATAATGTGTCAAATTGGCCTACTATAAATAAATCTCACAACAATGACTCTTTGCTTATAATACCAATCCCCCTATCCATCTTTAATTTTTTTTAATAGTTAGAGAACTTTTAGTGAAAATGTATGCAAACATGTTTAGAAATCCTACCTCTAAAGCAGCCGATGTGTCCTCTAGAATATACACTCTGACACTGTAGTCCAGAGGCTGCTGGGACAGTGGCAAGGGAGCGAACACAGCAAGCCTTAGAACCTTGAGAGGTCTCTCAGCAGAAGCGTGACTTGGTTCTCCTACCAGGACGAACCTTGACAATCTCTCAGTCATCAGAAACAGCCTACTGTCGTCCAGCTGGGCAAATACTGGAGTGTTGATGGTCTCCTCTTCCAACGTCACCACCTCCTGGTAAAGGAATATTTTGTTGATTACCTTTCTAAAATTTCTGTTCTACTATTAAGAACATTTCAGTTAAGGATTGAGATATTTATGAGGTATACATGCCAAAAAACTATGAAAAGTATTAATGGTTGGGAAGTCATTTTGTTTATAGAATCTTGAATATACGTAGCTTCAGATTTCTATTAAATCCGACTTATGAATTCGATTTTCAAATTCTACCCATGAATATTAATAGTCTATTAATTAAGTTTATGAATGGGCCTTAGTCAGTTATGATGCAAGAGCATTGGCAAGGATGTCACGTACATGCCATGTGGGCGCCATATCTAGAGGTGTGTCTGAACTCCACAGAGATATCCTCCAGTTGCCGTGCTGAAGACTGGCGCAATGCTGCATACTTATGACTGCGGGCTTCTTCAGCGTCACTCCTCCAGGTCCGCTCAGCACTACTGGGCTTAGCTGCGTCAGCCCATCTGAAGACATTGAGAACTTCAGAATCCGATGAGGTTTATGTGTAATAGTTAATAAACCTCTTATTTCGTGTAATACAAGCAATGTCGATATCGTTTAGTCCACGAGCTTGGATGTAGCAAACGTTATCTACTTAGCCAAGATAAATAGCTAATTTGGAAAATTTACTATTATTATCATTCTGTAAGGAAATTCAAATAAACTGTATAAAAGCCTTTACAAATAAAATTACCTGAAGGAAAAATAAACTTACCAAAACTTTTAGCATATTTATGTTCAATCAACTATTTAGAAACAATGTTTAACACTCACCCTTAAGCTTAGGCCTGTGTCTGTCCTCTCTTAACACGGCGAGATAGACTTGTTCCTTCACTCCCTTAGGCACCGCACCCTCTGGGATTGTCAAAGACACTCCAGCATCTGGCAGGCTTAGTCTGGTGCCTGCAAACGTGACAGGCCCAGTAGCCAAGCTGTCGGTGTCTCCCAGGCCACAGACTGAAGTACAGCTCTTGCAGGACCCGTCTGTACTGGAGCCTGCAAAACAATCAAGAATAGTTTAGAACCGTGTATGATGAATAATCAATCAAATAAACCCTTAAACTTCCTTAAAAAATCCATTGATTCCAAAATAAACAAACATTATGCCTAGTATTCTTCCAACATCACCACCACCTAACCTATCCTAAAAGTAAAAACATGTGTATTTTCTACTTACAGGAGTCCGAGTAGGTGCTTCTGCTCTGGCTGTAGGGACTGTGTAGGTGAGGTACGTCGTAGTGATGATCGCTGAAGGATCTGTGCATGGAGCCACATTTGTCCACGGTCTCGGAGTAAGGGTATTCGTAACAGCTAGGCACTGCTACTGGAATCACGACTCCACGAGTGAGGTCCGGCTGGAGGGGCTCTACCTGGTAGGTCTTCTTGTCCTCATTGGGAAGGTACTCCGGTTGGTACTCTGGAAAAAAATAGGATGAAATGGCATCTTAGCTGGTCTGGCGTTAAATAAAACTGAAAGAAAAAATATAAGGATATCCATGCAAAATATCTGCATACTTGCATTTTTTTAATACTTTTTGAGTGCACATTTCAATACTTTTTGGGTGTTTAAAATTTGGAAAAACTGTTAATATTTACCTATAAAAGTAAATATCAATACACCTAAATTTTCAGTATCTGGTTGCATTATCAATCGGGAATATAAAACTCACCGGAGACAGCCATGTTGTACATGCTGTGGTCTCTGCCTTTCCGTCTATGCAGCAGAAACAACAATGTTGCAATGCAGCTGAATACAGCACAAGCTACGATCAGACCAATGTACAAGGCAACCTTCACATCGGCGTCGGCTCTGCTCGCTAGAAAACACAGAGACAAGTTTAGATACAAATATCACATACTGATGTTAAAATTGTTTAGTTTTATTATTCATTGTAAATATGATAATTTTCTATATTCTTCAGTCTAAGGTTTAATAAACAAACAATTAAATATTGTACAAATAATTGGTTTGTTTCAAACAAAATACAATTGAACACGTATTACGTCGCTCAAACAACCATCTTTAGTCTCCCTCTCGAAAACGAAATCACGTTCTGAGGGAAAACGTTGTCAAAAAAGGGAGAAAGAGAGGCGGATTTGACGGCGCCAAAGTATTATGTTCCGGCCACGATCACTTTCCATATTACAAAAGGGATGAAGTAGGGTGCGAGAATGGATTGATTCGGTTGATCTAATGAAGGACGTATTTATTTACAGGGGAGGATATCTCTCGGTCACGTCCCAATACCTGCTTCACTTCCCTCTCCAATTCTCTCTCTCTTCTGCCCTTAGGCACGTAAATCTTAGCTATTTTTGTCCCGGAGCTCTAAGTGATTTATTTTACAAAGCGGATCTCAACAATGCTCTTTTGTAGACCCTCACTGGTGTTTACTAATTAATTCCGTAATGATTTTTGTATTCACAATTCGGTGTTGAAATCACTGAGGAATTCTGCTCCTTGACATCGCAAACATAATTTAAGTCGGTCCTTCAATGGATTATTCAGCGCGCTCTTTATAGTCGCCGGCTTCAACGTTATTGAATATAAATAATGCTGTAGAGTGAGATTGTTTGTTTATAGAGTTTTGTTTGTAATTTTGTGGGCAGTTTTTACAAAATAATAAAACTATTTTCGCAACCTAATTCATTATTTTAATTGTACTGTATGCATTATCAAATTAAGTTAATAACCATCTTACCTTCCTCTGTTAACAATGAACTCGGCTCATCCCGCATTACTGAAAAAAAGTACAAATAACATTAGTACAACCAGATCAGTAAACTTAAATATTTTTTTATTATATATTACTTTATTGTTTTTTGCTTGTAATATGATTAATATTGCTACTGATATTTAATATTGCTCCATGATTGATCAACATGAAACTTCCCATTATTCATTATACAAACTGACAATGAAAACATCAAAGAACACATATTTTTTCACAATTTATTATTGTTAGCATTGTATCATCACTATTTTTAAAGTAATCGAAAATCACAGAAATATGCTAATGACAATACAGTGAAATAAAATATATATCCACCAACCTGTACACAGAGGTCCAGTACAGTTGGCCGTAGCGGTGTCTTTGCCCTGACAGTAGCTGCCGCCGTTGGAAGGTGCAGGATTGCTGCAAGTTCTTCTCTTGGTGTGTTTACAATCAGGACCACAGGCACTCCAGGACGACCACGCCGACCATCTACCGTCCACGGCTGTCGACAAAGAATGATATGTAGAAAACCTAAGAAAGATACGTTCCAAGCGAAAATACTTGAAGAAATGTATAGTTGATATTTTATAATAACACTAAATTAACGAATTAACGGTTTGTAGACACAAACGAACTAATAATACAAACTCAGCGTAAACACTTTGTAATTTAAAGTATATGTTTCTGGTATGTTCTTGTTGTTGGCCAATAAATGATGATTATGTAAACTAATAATGAGGACATAATAATCACTCAGAAAACATTTAACCATTTCAGGGGGCACGACTTATTAAGAATTCAAAATTTGAACCATTGTTATCAGTGTTGGTCAATAGTTTGCAGTTTTAACCATGATATACAATTTAGTTGTGCTAAAACTCGAAAGATTTGAATTTATATACATCTTAGATATTTTCTCACGAATAGAAAACTAATTTTTTTAAGTTACAACAAAGTGCATTTATGCAATCCATATATTAAACATATATTGAAACACCATCCGTTTTGTTACTACAACATTTGAAATTGATACAAAGACTTAAAACCAGCATAACATTAATTGAAGAAAGGTTGAATTTTAATTAAAATTGATTATAATCAATTTGTGTTCATTGTTATAATCCACCAACCCCATGACTACCAAACTACTCAACTTTCAAAACGACATCCAAACGAAAGTAAGAATGCACTTTGTAAAGCCAGCAGAGGTATGCAAGGTATAAATAACCCGAAGCACGAGGTGGGTTTTTAAGTGAAGTTATTGTTTAGTAAAATTTGAATATTTCCCAAGTCGCATACAGACGACGCTCGTTGTGAAGTGAGCTATCGTCGCCACTTTTTGTAGGTGTGATCCTAGTGACTAATTGTTGGCTTAAGTAAGCGTTGCACGCTCAGGCTAACAATGGACATTAATCTTGAATATATTAACAGCGGATATTACTTTAGCTGATTTACAACACGCGTTTTAATAAGACAGGAAACGCTGTGGAGGTTGTCATTTATAAGCAAACAATACGTTAGACTGTGATTGATACATAGACAATTATAGGGGAGTTTACTGTTTATAAATCATTTGAGAAGATACAGGGTTTTATAAATGAGAAAAATCTTCGTTTTGTAAATTTTGTACAATTAATATGATATATACCCTAAAGCTCACAATGACGTAGTACAGTACCAGTTAAAAAATTAACATACTTATTTGATTACAAAGTAGTTTAAGTACACCAAACAAATGTCTCTATTCTAAAAAGATTATTCTAAAATATAAATAAATAAAAGTCTAACGAGTTTGAATTGCAGTCTAGGTTTGGATGAACAGTTAGTCACGAAAGGTGTATGGAAACTCTGCTTGGTTTTTATGAAGTGCGACAAGTGTTCCCAGGCTAGTGTCCAAAGAGTAGAGGATGTTTTTAGTGGGTAGTCTTTGGGTTTAGACCCTTTGGAGTCCCACACTAAAGGCTAGCCATCTTTTTGCGTAAACGCATTACCCATCTTACTAAAAAAAAGATTTAAGACACCACAATCGTTTTAATACATTTATGACTTAAATTAATTCTTTAAAAACATGTACTGTACATGATATTTTCGGGTAAATTCCATAATTTTCATCAGCCATTACAGACAATTTAAACTCAGACGTTTTTCTGATTTTACATTATAAAACAAGAGCAACGCTGTTTATTTATATAACATGAGTTTTAAGTACGGTATTCAGAAATTTACGTTTTTTGCAGTAACAGAACTAAATTTTATTCATATATATACAACAATCAATATCAATATGATTATCAACACGTCATATGGTTCAAATTTTTATATTTTCATGTTCTTTGATTTAAAAAAATTGATTAGGACGTTGACCTGGTAACTTGATTCATCATCACTGTAGTAATACTTTAAACGTTTCCTTTAAAATGTGTAATGTACTACAAGTGAGATAGCCTATCGGAAAAGCATCACGACCGTGTAGCGAGACACGTTACCGAGCAAAGGTTTTATCATGTTTCAAGCTCGTGGTTCTCGGGGTGAATTTTCGTATAAATCTAACTTTTCAGTTATCAGGAAAGTAGGCTTGTCCTCGACAACATTAGTGTTTCCAAGAGCGAGTGTCTTCCGCGACATTACTCTAGATGGAGACTTTCGCCACACGCCATTGCTCTTTGGAAAACTGTAAACTGCATATTAGAAAACAAGAGGAGACGGTGTGAGTTTTAAGGGGAAAACTTTTAATTTACCATGGGGTTAAAGAAAAAATATTTCCGGTTGTATAATAAGTTGTTTTTTATGAAGAAAAAAATGTATAGTTTAACTTTTACGGATAGAAGCAACATTCTATTACTGTAAACACATTTTTAACGCATCGGACGGATAAGAAAATTAATAAAATGCTAATCATTGATCTGACTTAGGGGATGACAATCTACAATTTATTCGTTAAAGCGTTATGTTTAATTAAAAGTAACATAAACGTTGGATAGGTACAATAATATGCCTTTACAATTGGACATAAGAAATAGTAACATTTTGCACTACTGTTTATCATAGTTAACTTTAAAAAAATATCAAATGGATATAGGTTAAACATACATTAGAACTAGAAAAAACTTCTAGTTCTTGGCGTTTGAATTAATATAAAATACAAACAACCTCTGCTTAAAGTACAAGATCAAAGTACGAAGGAATGGACAACAAAGTATATTCAAAATCATGGAAACACAACTCTATAAGTAAGGTACACAGAGTGTAATAAAAAATACTAAATAATATCGGTGATTATCACTTTAATTAGGATTACACAAATATACACAGTTGCAATATAACAAATCATTCAACAGAAACATTAACGCCCAAATTTACCAACATATAAACATTTACAAAACCCATATCACATGCATGATAAAAAATCTGATTTAACACTAAAGCAAGTACATTGACCCCGTAGTTGACTGGGTAAGTAGGTGCTTGCAGAGGCTTTTTACACCGACAATCTGACATAGATAGAAATACCACGTTTGTACCAGACACTATACAGAGATGGAGATAGAGAGTCCACGCATCTCATGTTGTCTATAACGACCTCGTTACGCCGATTGTATCATTTGATTACGTCATCGGCTTATCAATAGGTTAATCAAACACAGAGTAAACAAACATGGAGGTACTTACTCTGTTCCTCTTCGGCGGCAGTGGTACAGAAAACACACAGTTAATACGTCTCACTTTTTTAAGCTTGTTTGAATAAGTTTTATAGTTATTTTCAGCAGTCTTGTAAATTATTTTTAAACAATTCCTACTGAAAATCAGGGATAATTAATTTTTGGGGTATTTGGACACCTGGGTTTAATTGTATTAAAACCACATCTTTACGGTCTTTAGAAAAAGTCTGAAAGGAAATTGGTCAAATTCCACAGTTCAAAAACTGTGAAATACCCATACAATATATTTTCATATAAAACATCGAAAATTTCTAAATGCATACTATTTTTTCAAAGTAATTCTCATAAACTTATTTACGAATTTTATAATCCACAATATGTAGGCCTACTCAGCAATATGAAAAAATATAATCAAATGTTAATCATGCATCAAAACAAAACGTAACATAATACTCGAAACATTGACTATGATAAAAAATAACGGCAGTATGTCATGCACGTCTGAAATTATATTTGTTCACTATTACAAATTTAGTAAATTTAGGAAATAATTATTTTTGTAAAATATAAAATATATATACAGGAGTAATTTAGGTTAACAGGTGTTTCCCATACGCTATAACCACATAACAGTACATTTTCTTCATCGTGTGAAAATCGTTACGCTCCGTCTAATCCAGCAAACAGGTGATCTTATATCAATAGCATGTAACGTTGCTTTAATGGCTAATTTGTTTAAATAAATCCTCCGAAACAAGCTGAGATCCTTATCTCCACTGTCGTAAGGACTTTCTCAGGAAGTGAAGTCCAGTAGTTTCTCACGTGTTATATGTAGGACATTATCAGTTGGTTAACTCCCGATTAAACTAACAACGGTTCTTGTTCACACCTTGACGATCCAATTCCATTGTTAACTTGGGACGATTTTAACCATGAAACTGCACTTTACAAACGAGCTCTCTGTTCAGAGTGCCACTAATCTCCAGTTTGCTAAACACCGTTTGGGTAAAGCGATTTTTCGATATAGACTAACACGGCATTGACTGTTCGATCTATTTCAGAATGGGTTGAAACATGTGAAACAATATTTTTGAATGTGAATTGTGGGCAGTTTGTTTTCATATAGAATGGGATTAAGTATTTGCAACAATTTATTACTCTTGAAACATTTCCAAGATGTATTCGGATGGATATGAATTTCAGAAGTTAACTCGGAAGTACAACTAAGGAAAATAATTCAAATGAAATCTACCCAAATAGATAATAATAATTATCTAAATTATTAGATACTCTTTTGCATTAGTGTTTTAACTTTTAAATAGTTAGACATTTATTATTGACATTTTGTTGCACTTTTAGTAATTACTTTTGAAAATATATTAAGCTTTTTTCGTTGTTTTTAAAACAATCTGTTAAATATCTGTCTGCATATTTAAAATTTTCAAATACACATTTTGTGGTAACACAAGGTTTAAACATTGGATTATAGTTCGTATATATACATTGCAAATCTTTTTTTCAGCAATGACAATTGATTTTGGAATTTATTTAGATAAAAATTTTAAAACAAAATTGTCTTACAAAGATTTGTCAAACAAAAGAGGAGCCGGCTTATTTCAAAATGCCTTTCTATAAACTATCAGCAATATACTTTAATATTGCTAAAATTGTCATTGTATACAAGCTTTACTTTACAAAGCTATTTGAACTTTTTTGAAGTTTTGATAAACAGTTTTATTAACTTCCTGTTCTCAAGTCAGTCGGCGAGGAAGTAGTTTTTCCAACCTCTGCGTTAGCTCGGTAGATAGGGTAATTAATGACGCCCGATCTATTTACTGAGGTAACCGTTTTGGTGAAGTTTGTTAATTAACCTCAACTACTGAATGTTCATTAGTGTTATCGCTCTTTGGATTCAATCTATCGCTTTACACTGCCCAGATATTGGTATTTGGACACCCAAACCAACTGTTATTGAAAAGTGTTGATTTAAAACCCAATAGTCGACATGGTAAAGTAGAATCTTTTAGGTATATGTATTTAAAATGTAACACAGACTGGAAAATGTCTCCAAGGTGGTTGAGATACTCCAAAAACTGTAGTAAATCTTACATACGGAACCCTCCTCCGAAACGATGTTTATACTAATTTTCCCTTGATGAAATTTGGTTTGAAGGTGTAAGGCGGGATAAACTTGAATGAGTTCGCGATTCAGAATGATCGGGCCATGGGAACAGGGTTTTATGGGGGGTTTTATGGGGTAAAAATTGGTTTTTCTCGCTTTTGACCCTCAAAACACAAAATTTCCCAATTTTTCTCTAAACCTTCTTAAAGAGCTTAAAAAAACAAACAATTCAGTATATCAAAGTGTTTTTGTACGGTTATTGGTTACGGAGAAAACTAAAAAAATTGTAAATTTAAAATTCCCATGTTATTCTTATGGAGAATATTGTAAAATGTTGTAGTTTGCTTGTTTATGGATATCTTTTGATCAAGCTTGGCAAATATATTCATTTTATACTAAGCAATAATTATTTTACTTAAAACACACACTTTGTTAGTTTCCTTGTAGCAGCAAACCTAGGTACTCGTTAAACCTAATGTTATTTAAATAGATCAATTGAAAATCAATTCAGCCAAATGGAAATTCGCTTAGGCGTCAGGTTTGCTGCGGCGGGGGTATTTAAACTGTAAATTATTTAAATTTGTTTACATCATACGGTATTGAAAATGTATATTCTTTTGTTTGTGCCTCTGGACAACTTAAATTTAAAATACTAGAATTTAGTCGGTTGAGGTTATACAGAAACTTTATCTTTACGTAAAACAATTATTATATTTCGTTTGAATTAAAACAAAGACAAAGTGAATACTTATTTCATCAGTAAAGATTTATTCTTCAAGGACTTTTGGTTGGGAAGGTTAAGGGTTCATTTTGCAACCCTTATCATATAAATACTATGACAGTGTAACCTTCATTAATATTTATTTATGTGTTTCTTTAGTTTGGCTCCTATGCTAATTTAACTTGGTATGTGGAAAATGGGTCGATAAGAAATTAATAAGAATTAATATTAAACATGTTTTGCATAAGCAACTAATGAGATAAGATAACCAGACATACCGGGACATACAGATGTACAGTCCGCCTTCTGTAGGGCGGGTCCCGTACACTGAGCGCCTCCGTTGAGAGGCGGGGGATTGTTGCAGATCCTGGACCTCTTCTGTATCCCACGACCACAACGAGAGTTGCACTCCGACCAGGACGACCACGACGACCACCCTCCGTTCACTGGAACATCACACACAAAGGTGAAGTACAATCTAGCTTAGCCGGCAAGGCCAGGACACTGAGCTCCTCCGTTGAGAGGCGGGGGATTGTTGCAGATCCTAGACCTCTTCTGTATCCCACGACCACAACGAGAGTTACACTCTGACCAGGACGACCACGACGACCACCCTCCGTTCACTGGAACATCACACACAAAGGTGAAGTACAATCTAGCTTAGCCGGCAAGGCCAGGACACTGAGCTCCTCCGTTGAGAGGCGGGGGATTGTTGCAGATCCTAGACCTCTTCTGTATCCCACGACCACAACGAGAGTTACACTCTGACCAGGACGACCACGACGACCACCCTCCGTTCACTGGAACATCACACACAAAGGTGAAGTACAATCTTGCTTAGCCAGGACACTGAGGACCTCCGTTGAGAGGCGGGGGATTGTTGCAGATCCTAGACCTCTTCTGTATCCCACGACCACAACGAGAGTTACACTCTGACCAGGCCGACCACGACGACCACCCTCCGTTCACTGGAACATCACACACAAAGGTGAAGTACAATCTAGCTTAGCCGGCAAGGCCAGGACACTGAGCTCCTCCGTTGAGAGGCGGGGGATTGTTGCAGATCCTAGACCTCTTCTGTATCCCACGACCACAACGAGAGTTACACTCTGACCAGGACGACCACGACGACCACCCTCCGTTCACTGGAACATCACACACAAAGGTGAAGTACAATCTTGCTTAGCCAGGACACTGAGCGCCTCCGTTGAGAGGCGGGGGATTGTTGCAGATCCTGGACCTCTTCTGTATCCCACGACCACAACGAGAGTTACACTCTGACCAGGACGACCACGACGACCACCCTCCGTTCACTGGAACATCACACACAAAGGTGAAGTACAATCTTGCTTAGCCAGGACACTGAGGACCTCCGTTGAGAGGTGGGGCCCTGGAACATCTCAGACATTATGAAGCATTGTTGGACATACTGTAGTGGATATCGTAATTGGCTGTTTTACGAAATTTTTTTTTGTCAAAGTGAGTTACTAGTTAAAGCTTTAAGATTTTGGTGACTGTTTGACAAAATTGAAGATTCGTAGATTGTTTAACTTACTAACACAAAATTATTGCAAAGTTTTAAAAGCGAAGTTACATAACGAACACTGGTATGAAATCAAAACAGAATGAAAACATTTAGTGACACCATGAAGCTACATGTGGCGTCGTATCGTCTCCAACCCGATGTCCAGGGTTGTGGAGGGGGGAGGGGGTAGACAGAGTTGCGGTGCAGAGTGACCGCACGCTGGCGCGGTCAGCTCACTGTATTGTTGTCTGCGGTATAACACCGCCAGCCATTGTGTAAAACTTTCAATTGTTTGTAAACCCCGTCCCCAGCCCTGCAATGTTTGAAAGCCATTTCCCTGCTAAACGGTCTTGGTGTTTAGTGCGATTTCAATTGTGATAGTTTTGCAAATGGATTTGAAAGCGTTTAGTTTAACTGGATGAAACTGTTTTGATTTCTTTACTCTTTTCGTTTGTTACAATTTAACACTTTTGTACATTTTAGTGAACGGTGCACTGATTTCGAGCACTCACTGAAGCGGCAGTAATGGGATCGCTAATCCTGTGGTGATTTCGAGCATGGAACCTCCAGGTCTGGAAGGACAATGCATCTATCTGTTTATTGATGAAATAGCTACCTTAAAATATATCATTGATTTTGGATCCTAGGCAGCCTAAATAGGTGTTCACAGTCTGAGTTAACAAAAACGTACTACTGTATTATACAGTTCAATTTTGTTTCTTAATTAAATTATGGGTGTGAAACCATTTTAAGGCTTTTTCAAAGAACCAACTTTGTATCTTTTGCATACTGATCCCGTTGCAAGTTTTGTATAAATGTCGCAATCAAAATTTATTCGAACGAGTTCGTGAACAAGCATGATCTGACCATGGGGACGGAGAATTATGATGGTTTTATAGGGTGAATTTGGGTTTCCCTATTTTTGAGCGTCAAAACTTAGGATTCCCCGATTTCTTTTCACACAATTTTCGAAAGTATGTTTGTACGGTTAAAAGTTCAAATTATTCAAATTGAAAATTGATTCAAATAATTTAATCTATACGAAATAAAATTCAAAACATCGTAAATCTAAAACACTCAAGTTATTCTTGTGCAGAGTAAGTAATTTTATTAGTTTTTTGATATATTTCATCACATTTGAAAAATTTGTTTATTTCATCCTAAGCTTTTATTTTTTTTTTTTTACTATAAAACAGTCTAAACTAGGCCTTTAGACCTTTCTTGTGTCAGAAAAGTACTAAGTATGCGTTAAACGTAGGCTAATGGTATCTAAATAGAGAATACATCTGACATGTTTAAGGAGATATTTAAGTATGGATGGAATAAATATTTGTTTATTTAACAATGGAAAATGAAATCAAATTATAAAAACCTAGATTGTACGGGTCGGAATTTTACCCCCGGACTTTTACCCCCTTCATGAGGTAAGCTCAAAATGTACAGCCTGGATTTTTACCCCCGGAATTTTACCCCCTGGCCAGATATAGAAATTATCAAGGATGATTGATTTTCGTATTTCTGTTTTTAATTAATTGTAAACATTTTATTATTAAGTAGCCTATCTTTATTTATTTATTTTGTAATCTCAACTAAGTAAACAGAATTCACTGTTTAATTTTTATGATCGGGATTTGCGTTTGGGGCCAACTGTTGGCTGTTGGTTAATATGTATGTAAAATAAACTGAGTAGCTCATTTAAATGATAATTGTGTGAACATTACTTCGTGAAGAAACAATAAGACATATTTTGTTATTGTTACAATACAAACGGAAAACATTGTTTTACCACGTTTGTATAATAAATCGTTAAAGAAATCTTCGAATCAATTAACGTTCTGATGTTTGTTTATACGTCATATTAACCAACAGTTGGCTTCAAAGATCGAATCCTGATACTCAAATTTCAAAATTTTAATTAAAAACCTGTTTGATTAGTTGATGTTACAAATAAATTAAGATAGGCTACTTCATAATAACATGTTTACTATTAAATAAAAACAGAAATAGGAAAATCAATAATTCCTAATAATTTCTATATCCGGCCAGGGGGTAAAATTTTGGCCCGTACACTCTAGGTTTTAATAATTTGATGTGTTCTGATTAAATTCACAACCGTGAAAATATTCATTTAATTCCGCGTTTAATCCATCGAACTGATGTCGCGAAACTCAAAAGTTCGCGGCCGGAGTTTTACCCCCTGGTTTGTGACGTCACGTTTGCCCAGGGGGATAAAAATCCACTACCTCCATACAGCTTAGCTCCGCCGGGAATTAAAAAAAACCTTGTAAATAAAAAAAAAACATGGAGTAGCCTACATAATATTTATACACGTATTGCATTTTAAGTAATGATTCAAGCAAAGAAGGGTTTCAGAGGTACAGCACGCACGTTGTAAGGGACGCACCCGGAACGACAGCGGTATGCAGCGTATGACTTTATGACAAGATAAGACGAGGCATTCTGTGACTTCATTTCAATAGCGCCCAAACCGAAACGTACATACGACTGTACAATCGCGTTGCGCAGAGAAGAAACGAAGCAAAGGAAGGACACCCGAGTACGGCAAAAGTTTATCCATGTGAAACTAAAACAACTGAGGGACTCGCACATTAATTTGTTAACTTTTGTCAAGTGTGTTGGCCACAAGGTCAGGAAATAAATGCCGTAGTTTGATTTGAACGTTTTTCCTCATCTTCCCCTATTTAATCATCCTTAAAGTTCTAGGAAGGCCAAATGCTCGAAATCACCAAAGTATTAGAGAACCCATTATTGCCGCTTCAGTGCAATGCTCGATTTCACCGCGTTTTGGGTTTTCGTGCTCGAAATCAGTGCGCCCTTAGTGAAATTAATCTAAAGGTTTAGAGGTGTTCATGAATTCATATGGCATGGTGTGTAAACTGTTATAGAATTACTGAACATATTTTTAAACATATTCGTATTGTATCGTAAGGTGCTTTAAACGTTGAAACATATTGTGGATGCAAAATTGTTTTTTCGGCTATTACACCATTGACTTTCAAACTATTACCAGTTGTTTAACTCGAACCTCTTTCACAAAAGTCTAAATTATCCTCATCAAATTATCTCTACTGTAACTGATACCACAAAACCACTATGTGCGTTTAAAAAACCAAATTGCACAGGTTCAATCCTCAAACCACATAATTCATTTTGCAAATCACCCTAATTCCGTGGCAATTGAGCGTCTGCAATAAATCTGCGGGTGGTCCTTCCACTAGTTCTGCTCCAGTTAATCGAAGACCCGAGTTGTAGCAAAGGTCACAATTATCAAATGATAGAGGGCCTCGCCAGTCCGCTCTTTATGGAGGTGCACTCTCGTAAAAACATAATAGTGGCGGGATGATTTGAATTTAATTGAACCGAAGAGCCGGGCTGAAGTGGAGTGAGAGCGAGAGAGAGGAGTGACTAACGAATACAGAGTCGGAGCCAGTTCATGAATATGCGAGAGGTTTGAACCGTGGACCTGTTGGTCGGTAGCTATTAGCTAAGCAAATACATTAGACCACTCGGCTGAGAGATGTTTGCTGTTACATACGCGGAGGGATTTGGAAAGTAAGTGGTGGATTGTGGAAGGATGAGTCTTATGTCACTGTAGGTGAGTTACCGATAAAAGTCTCAAAGTACATACAGTAATGTTTGGCATTTGCAAAGTGGTACATTAACTAACTATTTACATTTATGTATGTATATTCCCTTGGGGTGAATTATGTACTTTTACAAAAATGTGTTTATAATTTTACATAATTTAAACACAAGTGTGCCACGAATATAGAGTTTTCTGCAATGTAAAATTTAGCAAAGGAGTACTAACTAGCCCAATAAATGACGAATCACTTGAAAGAGTGAAATTACTCTCGGGTAGTAAGATTCCCGAAGCACTTTCAGTTTTATCATGCAATTTGTGTCGAAACGCTTGAACTTCGTGTAAAATACAACCCTTTAAAGAAAGTAGGACAATAGGGTGGTGAAAACTCTTGAAAGCTCAGGGAACAAGGGTCTTTTAGATTACGAAAACGCACGGATAACGGCAATTAATTCCGTGCCAGATAAGGGAAGAACACGCAATAACGGGGTACTTTATCCATCCCCGCCCCTAATGAACATGATTCACTCACCCGCTGAAACATCTGGACACCTTATCAGGGGCGGCAATGGTCTTATCATCGATAAGACGCTGAACATGTGAGACTAGACACGCTATGCAGGTTTAGCTATGCAAATCTAAATTGGACTCCTCGTTAGTTAATTTTTATGCGTGGAACCCATTGTGCTAAATACAATGGTCGTTTATTCCACGTGATTGGGTAAACAACTGACAATTACGGCCGATTATATGGTAATCAGGGATTAATTGTCGATAGCCAGTTGGTAGTCGGAACCTGAAACTCCTTATTGAGCTATTATATTGTTACCGGAACACAACCAGTTGTAAGGAGTCTGGAACGACGGTTGTTAGAACGGTAATTGAGTGTTAGAAGTGTTCTGGATAATTTTGTGACGTGAATTCGAGAGTTTTAATCATTCGTTTGGTGATATTCCTCCTTGGATTTCACAGGCGAAACCCTTAGGATATACCTCATTTCAGGTCAATGACGTTTGTGACGGACAAATTTCAATAAAACCTATTTGAAAAATTTTGTACATTGATAGTTTAGAAAACATCATCATAGAAGTTTGCCAAATAACTGATATATCTCCGAAATGTAGCCTATTATTTTTCATAAAAAAATAATAGGTTGAATATAGTTAAATAGTCGACCAAGTATATATTATTTACAAAGAGGGTAAATAATAACATCTAAATTCTAAAACCTAACATCGAGATATATTCCTTAAATCATAGAAGATTATAGCATCACTGATTTTGTAAACCACATATTATCAGTGCAACAGAGGATTCTCCCAGAACTGCAGATCAGTGTGTGGTAATATGCATTTTAAAAGCAAGAGACATAAGAAGGGATTACAAACCACGCAATTAAAGCTGAGTTAAAACATACGTAGCAAAAGTGTTGGTACAGAGAATGCATAACTTGTTATTAAAATGGTCACGTAAGAGTTTGAAAAGTGAAATAAGAATAAGAAAGAAAGTTTGTCGAAGTATCAAGAGTTGAAAGAAAACAAGCTATTCTCAACGTTTGTAAGCCGTGGTAAGTTCTTCGCCGTTTATGTTAATAGTCTTACAACTGCATTGCCGAAACTTGTCCAACTAAGTTGTTGGTTTTGCTGTTGTGTATAACAAACTCAGCAGTGGTATTTGCAGAGGATCTTACTAAATAAAGGATTATTCAACGAAATATTACACAGGTAATAAGGTAAGGAACAAAATTTGTATGGTTTATAAAAAATATTGGCTATGACAATTATTGATATATGGAATATATGAAATATAAAAAAAACTCATTGAGTTAAAACAGTGTACTTATACCGTAAATACCTTAACCACAGTAAACAGTTTCCATTGTACTACTGTCACAGTGATTCTTCTTTCTATTTTTAACTGAGGCCAAAGGAATTGTTTAATCTTTTAAAAAGCAAATAGGCCTAGTTCAAATACTAATCTTGTTCATTTATAACTTGAACCATACATTAGATAGCATTACTTTTTAGATGATAACGATTTTAAAATGGCACTTGTAGGCTGGTAATGAGTGTTATTTCTTAGGGATGCGATTTAGGAGTTCAGTGGGTCTTGTTGTGTTGGATGCAAAGGAGAACACAATCATACTACCTGCTTTCTACTATCTACTATCTATCAATCTGTACCTCACTTCTCCTTCTTCAAATGTTGTTAAAGCAGTTGAAGACATTCCTGTTGTATTCTGAATATGTGTTATGTTTTATTACTATTCTGTATCACTTACCATAGACAGTGAGCAGCGCGGGGTCTGAGATACGCTTGGCGGCGATGTTCTCAGCAACACAGGTGTAGTTGGCCGTGTCCTGGAGCCGTGCCTGACTGATGAGCAAGTGACCCTCACTACTGACGATCACGTTAGGTATAGCTAGGTACATATCACTTGACTTACCATAGACAGTGAGCAGCGCGGGGTCTGAGATACGCTTGGCGGCGATGTTCTCAGCAACACAGGTATAGTTGGCCGTGTCCTGGAGCCGTGCCTGACTGATGAGCAAGTGACCCTCACTACTGACGATCACGTTAGGTATAGCTAGGTACATATCACTTGACTTACCATAGACAGTGAGCAGCGCGGGGTCTGAGATACGCTTGGCGGCGATGTTCTCAGCAACACAGGTGTAGTTGGCCGTGTCCTGGAGCCGTGCCTGACTGATGAGCAAGTGACCCTCGCTACTGACGATCACGTTAGGTATAGCTAGGTACGTATCACTTGACTTACCATAGACAGTGAGCAGCGCGGGGTCTGAGATACGCTTGGCGGCGATGTTCTCAGCAACACAGGTGTAGTTGGCCGTGTCCTGGAGCCGTGCCTGACTGATGAGCAAGTGACCCTCACTACTGACGATCACGTTAGGTATAGCTAGGTACATATCACTTGACTTACCATAGACAGTGAGCAGCGCGGGGTCTGAGATACGCTTGGCGGCGATGTTCTCAGCAACACAGGTATAGTTGGCCGTGTCCTGGAGCCGTGCCTGACTGATGAGCAAGTGACCCTCACTACTGACGATCACGTTAGGTATAGCTAGGTACATATCACTTGACTTACCATAGACAGTGAGCAGCGCGGGGTCTGAGATACGCTTGGCGGCGATGTTCTCAGCAACACAGGTGTAGTTGGCCGTGTCCTGGAGCCGTGCCTGACTGATGAGCAAGTGACCCTCGCTACTGACGATCACGTTAGGTATAGCTAGGTACGTATCACTTGACTTACCATAGACAGTGAGCAGCGCGGGGTCTGAGATACGCTTGGCGGCGATGTTCTCAGCAACACAGGTGTAGTTGGCCGTGTCCTGGAGCCGCGCCTGACTGATGAGCAAGTGACCCTCGCTACTGACGATCACGTTAGGTATAGCTAGGTACATATCACTTGACTTACCATAGACAGTGAGCAGCGCAGGGTCTGAGATACGCTTGGCGGCGATGTTCTCAGCAACACAGGTGTAGTTGGCCGTGTCCTGGAGGCGCGCCTGACTGATGAGCAAGTGACCCTCACTACTGACGATCACGTTAGGTATAGCTAGGTATATATCACTTGACTTACCATAGACAGTGAGCAGCGCGGGGTCTGAGATACGCTTGGCGGCGATGTTCTCAGCAACACAGGTGTAGTTGGCCGTGTCCTGGAGCCGTGCCTGACTGATGAGCAAGTGACCCTCGCTACTGACGATCACGTTAGGTATAGCTAGGTACGTATCACTTGACTTACCATAGACAGTGAGCAGCGCGGGGTCTGAGATACGCTTGGCGGCGATGTTCTCAGCAACACAGGTGTAGTTGGCCGTGTCCTGGAGCCGTGCCTGACTGATGAGCAAGTGACCCTCACTACTGACGATCACGTTAGGTATAGCTAGGTACATATCACTTGACTTACCATAGACAGTGAGCAGCGCGGGGTCTGAGATACGCTTGGCGGCGATGTTCTCAGCAACACAGGTGTAGTTGGCCGTGTCCTGGAGCCGCGCCTGACTGATGAGCAAGTGACCCTCACTACTGACGATCACGTTAGGTATAGCTAGGTATATATCACTTGACTTACCATAGACAGTGAGCAGCGCGGGGTCTGAGATACGCTTGGCGGCGATGTTCTCAGCAACACAGGTGTAGTTGGCCGTGTCCTGGAGCCGTGCCTGACTGATGAGCAAGTGACCCTCGCTACTGACGATCACGTTAGGTATAGCTAGGTACGTATCACTTGACTTACCATAGACAGTGAGCAGCGCGGGGTCTGAGATACTCTTGGCGGCGATGTTCTCAGCAACACAGGTGTAGTTGGCCGTGTCCTGGAGCCGTGCCTGACTGATGAGCAAGTGACCCTCACTACTGACGATCACGTTAGGTATAGCTAGGTACATATCACTTGACTTACCATAGACAGTGAGCAGCGCGGGGTCTGAGATACGCTTGGCGGCGATGTTCTCAGCAACACAGGTGTAGTTGGCCGTGTCCTGGAGCCGCGCCTGACTGATGAGCAAGTGACCCTCACTATTGACGATCACGTTAGGTATAGCTAGGTACATATCACTTGACTTACCATAGACAGTGAGCAGCGCGGGGTCTGAGATACGCTTGGCGGCGATGTTCTCAGCAACACAGGTGTAGTTGGCCGTGTCCTGGAGCCGCGCCTGACTGATGAGCAAGTGACCCTCACTATTGACGATCACGTTAGGTATAGCTAGGTACATATCACTTGACTTACCATAGACAGTGAGCAGCGCGGGGTCTGAGATACGCTTGGCGGCGATGTTCTCAGCAACACAGGTGTAGTTGGCCGTGTCCTGGAGCCGCGCCTGACTGATGAGCAAGTGACCCTCACTACTGACGATCACGTTAGTGTCGGTCTCCAGAGGCAGACCGTTCCTCAGCCAGTAGATCTGTGGCGGTGGCACTCCCGGAGGCGCGTGGCACCTCAGCTCCGCCTGGTGGTCCATCTCCACGGTCTGAGAGTATGGTGGAGAGTCGAACTGCTTCTTCAAATCTGAAATTGGAAATTCTGGCCTTAGTGTTTAAAGAAAAAATGAAATTTGATCTCTAAAAAAGAGCTCTATAAACATCACAGTGATCACTTGAATATTTCTAGTCGCATATGCTCAGATTCCAAGTTCTTGTACAAGTCCGAGGATATACTTACAACTGAGCTATCAACTGAGCTATATGAGCTATCAATCAACTAATGTTCACACCAGAGGCTATGTTTTGGAGACAGTGTAATTTTAATTTTCTTGTACTTTTTTATCCGTTGGTTAAACAAAGAGTACGATACCCCTCAAAAGAACCAAAGGCCTTCTTTAAAACCATAGGCTTTACCTAAATTCAAGGAAATTGAATCTTGTATAGCATATGAGTGGAGATCATCCCGACATAATGAGTTAAAAATATGGAGCCAGGTCTAGATAGAATTATATCGGTTTTAGCCAGTGCAAGTACCACTATGTTGCATCAACGGCAAGTACAGACAATAAACATATAACAATTCAGACAGGCATATTGAGACAGCAATCTCATTTGTGTGTGATATCCGTTGTAAGGTTGGTCAATTTTAGAGTTCATAAGTTAAAACAAAACGGCTCCTTGTAGTAGTTTGATTAATCTTATATTTAGTTAACTGTATGTACCTGATAATCCCTTTAAACTTGTCAGATAAACGATGTAATACGTATTTCGTTTCACGCATACCCACAGACTCTAACACCAAACACCAAACAGCTTACAATGTAAAATGTAAATCAAGTTTAAAGGGTTTCAAGTATAATATTTCTAGCAGATTTACAGTTTTATCAAAGAAACCCTCAACATTTTGCAGTTAATGTGCACAAGGCGAATTATCAGTACGCTTGTACCAGGAGCAAAAACTCTGTAGTTTCTTATGCCTCCAATTATACAATAAGAAGGGCACGTCCAGCTGAAAACAGGGCGGTTTTGTTTACGGAACCCCGCTGAGTATTTGTGTTAATTGTCGGAATTTTGAGTAAACACAGGATTGTTTGATCAGGCTGCGGATAAACAAACTTTGCGGCGAAATCCGACCTGACCCCGACTGGCAGCTGGCAACAAACACTACGACAACCGTTAACACGGCGGTAATGTTACAGGGAAGAGAACTCGTAAAGATATCGAGAACGATGAGACAAGTGAGGATTGACAATATGAGAGAACGTATCAATTTGCATCAAGAACGACATGTCTGCGTATTTGTCATGAGGCAGATGATTTGTTCAGACGTTGTGTGTGAGACATCTTGGTTCATTATATTGAAAAACTTTACTTCTTTTGTGAAAACATCTACTCATTTTGTAGTACAACTACCTAAGTTGTAGTTGATGCTATGGCAATATTCAGTGTAAAATTATAGAAGCATTTTGAAAGGTTGGTTCTTTTCACACTACTGTATTTCCAATAATTACTTTGCTTAAGACTTTGTCTGTATACTTTTTTATCATTAAATGAAACTTAAGCTTTGCTAATTAAACGTTTGCTAAGGACGTTGTAATCTAAAATACGAATGGTAAATATGTAGTAAATCTTTTTTGTTTTGTTTTTGGGTTACATGAAAATAACAAAATGAATCTTTGACAATGCTTTCTTTATGCGAATCTTTACAAAGGAAATAATGATTTTCACTTTATATTATTGAATAGTTTATTATTCTAGTGTAAATTCATTTTAAATCGAACCAATGCTAAATCTGATCCAATCAAATTAGAATTTTTGTTACGTAAAATTTAATTTAGCAGGGAACACTATTTATTAAGACCCACTTATAACACATCAAAGTCATCTGTAGGCTTATCTATTTAAAGATAAACACCACCAATAAATAACATCAAAACCAGACTCGGTTGAACTATAATTAACAAGAAGCCTTCTGAACTTTAGCACAGCGGTCGGAGCGGTGCAAACGTAAAAAGCTTATCTAGCAATAACTCAACCGAGCTCCGTGATTAACCGTTTTTAATTCACACAAGCAAACGTGCAGTCAGCTGTTTAATGAAAACATCTGAGCAGTAAACAGCTGATTCAGCGGAATCAGCGCGCACTTCCTCGACTTTGAACCGGCTTCAGCAGCTGTCAGATAAATGTCCCGTGATGAGTTATGTCCCCGAATGACCGTCCAGCGGGAACCGTATATATACGCCATAACTCAGAATTAATTTGGAAGACGGATGGCTCGAACCTTCGCGCACGAACAAATCATAGAATTATATTTAACCTCAAAGACAACCCGGGTCGATTTATGTTCCAAATTGACGGTATTTTTACCGCTGCGTCGTCGAGTCAACACAGTTATAAATTAAATTGTTATTTATCTATGACCATGTTTCATATTTGTATCGGGTCTGTATAAATACGCTTAGAGGAAACAGTAAATCTACCATCAGGAGGTGTTTGGATTATTTAATTCCTTTGACAAAATGTTTTTACACACGGGACACTTCTTGCTACAATGTTATGATGATTTAATGGCATAATGTTTAATTGCATTTGTTATTAAAAGCAAAAAAATAATTGATTTTAGCCAGTCAAAACTGTATCAATTAAATACTCATTTATATAAATATGATATATTTAATACGTATATTAAAGATAACAGTATATATCGTGGAAATTATTTTTAGTCTGGAATTAAAACAGATAAACATAAATAAACGAAACATTTTAATTGATACTACTATTTCAGTAATAATCTGCCTTTATTCCCTATATTCCTATATATATTCATATATGAGGTTGGGCAAGATAAAAATCACAAATTCAGTGAGGTTAAGTATTTCATAGCTGATACATATTACCAGCCACATACAGGATGTTCCTATAAACAAATTGCCAAAGGTATTTTCCTAATAATTGTATACAATTCATCAATATTTAAAAATACAGCTTTAAATAAATTACATTTATTAATGAAATTTCAGATAGTAAAAAACGTTTCAAGCCATAAACACGTGAACACTAATGGCCGGTTTATCCAGTGCAACTAACAATAATGAATCGATGGAGATATTCCAGCTGTAATTTAAACTCACTAACATTGTTATCTCCTATATATTTAAAAATACAGCTTTAAATAAATTACATTTATTAATGAAATTTCAGATAGTAAAAAACGTTTCAAGCCATAAACACGTGAACACTAATGGCCGGTTTATCCAGTGCAACTAACAATAATGAATCGATGGAGATATTCCAGCTGTAATTTAAACTCACTAACATTGTTATCTCCTACGAAGCCAATGACGAAAGAGACTTCGGTCGCCAATTAAATGGAGTGAAATTAGGCGCCTCAGGTTGTAAAGCATCTGAGGAAGTGATTAAAATGAACTCGGTAATTGCTCGATAGAGCTGAGTCTATCGGACCACCCAGAGCTCGGGATAAGTTTACGGATCGTCAACGAAATTTGGAAAATTACTTATAATGTGACGAAATCAACCAAAGTGTCTACAAAATTACTTAAATACCGGCTGTGAAATGAATTTTCACAGCATGCTATTGGGGTTATTAAAATGGCTATGATAAATAATTTCAGTAACGTGAGCATGTTAGGAAAATAGTTAACGAATATTTTATCCAAATATTTATGAAATTGCCTAGTCTGTGGTTTATAGAGTGACAAAGGTATTAGACTAATTTAATATTGCATTCGAACTGTTTTTTCGATTAGCTGAGTATGGTTATTCAATCAATGCATACACTTAAATTCTGATTGATTTAAATGGATAATCAATATCTTTACTCTAAATATAGGTCAACTAATTAACTGTTTCAATTAGTTATCTACAAAACAGTAATGAAAAGGGTTAATAGTGAACATATGTTCTAACTACACAAACCTAGGGTATAGATAAATGTATTCCGCACCACGTTTCATCAGTTTCCTAAGCTATTTATTTACGTTTCAACACGTATTTGAACTAGTGGGCAAATTAACCAGTTATTACATTACGGTATTAAATCGATGAAGTTATTCCTATGATTTAAATATGATCTAATAATCTAAACCATATGAAGTAAAAGAGACGATTTAGGAATTTTTTCCATCACTAATACTTTTATTTAGTAGAAGAACAAAGTTGGGATCATCAGATGCAGAAATATTATGAAACATGGTTTTTTACTAACCGTGATTGAAAAGATCGCCGATAACACTTTAAATAACGTAAGATCATAACCTACAAAAATAAACTTTTCCTACAGTCACCCGACAAAGTTGGCTTCCTTGTACTGTTTATAGTACAGAAAGCTGCTAATTGCTGCATATTTATACTTTGCCGTACGGTTTATACTTTGCCGTACGGTTTATACTTTGCCGCACATCAGGATTCCAACGAAACAACACAAAACAGCGTGGTTCCATTATGCACGTAATCCGTGTACGCTTGGAAATAGGTTGGCAACACTTAAAGATAATTATACTATGAGCAGCTGATTGACTATTATAACTACGATTTAACCTGTCATTTCGTGTTTATAGTTTCGGTATTTCTGAACTTTCTGGACTTTTCTTTTAAACGTTTTTAAAACCTTCCTACGATCTTAATAAACAAGAAAATACCCTTTAAGCATTTTTTTTTTGGCGCGGAAACCACTTCAAATTGCAAAAACATATGGAACTATATTCTCAAAACGCGGAGCACATTTCTTGCCGAGGAAAAATAGCGGAGTGATATGGACCGCGGGTACTACTTTCCCTAGGGCACCATTTGTGTTGCCAGCTGAACCTAAAAACGTGTTGCATAGTGTTTGAAAGACTAATTATTTATATGCTTTATAGTGACTGTAGGAAAAATATAATGTGTAACACGAGTGAAAAAGGCCTTTGCTGCACTCGAGATCATTCCACACTCGCCTGCGGCTCGTGCGTAAACATTGCTCTCGTGTGCAGCAAAGTGCCACTTTCACCACTAGTTACACAAATAACTATTTCCATAAGAGATTCAAATATACTTACAAGCCACATCGACGACGGCGGGTTGACTACGTATCTGCCCTCTGGACGACCAAGCGACGCATTCACATTTGAACTTGTCTTTGCCGAAGTATTCCTCTACGTCGTCCCTGGTCACATTCACTGAGGTCTCTACATTCCTCACTCCTGTCTGAGGGTCCACAAACTCCAGGTGAGGATGTTCCCCGGTGCTGCTCTTGTGTCGCTCCCCGTTACACTTAAAGTACACCTCCAGAGCGTGCGCCGCCCGGCAGGATATGGTGGCTGGTTTGTTCTTGATGACGTACGTGTCTGTCGGTTCCTCTAGGAAGACCGGGAGAGGGACCGAGTGCTGGTCCGAGCCTCCTGGAAGAACCGCTGGGAGAGGGTCTTCCAGGAGATCTTCATCGTCGGGGTCATGTTCTGGCTCTTCGGCTCCTGGAAGAAATACATTGATTTCAGTGAGTTTTTATCTCTAACGTTTAAGTTTTGAGCATAGTTGATTTGTATAAAGAATATACAATTTATAGGATTTAATAAATCTGTAATGTTTGAAAACGTACCACATAATGTATACGGTACTTGTGTATAATGTATCAAAGAAATTAATAGCTGCTTAGTATTAGGAGGCTGCAATTGCACAAAAGTGTAAAATGTTCAGAAAGTAATCTTAAATGTGTATTGAAGGCTGTAACCATTTTTTTATTTAAAATTAAATGTTTCCAACATACGAGTAAGTATTATCTTTATAACTTTACTCTGGTTACTTGACATTCTTAGAAATGTTACAAGCTTTTTCCTTAAAATGTTTGCCCTCCCTACTTTTATAATTACACGACTACACGAATCAACAATAATTCAAAATATAACTAATGTGCTAGAATCAAATTAGGCTACACTATTTAAAATTTATAGATACAAATGTATTTATTAAATATTTTTTGATGGATACTTTTTATATAAAATCGTGTTTGTGAAGTAAATTAGCAGTTAACAAAACAAATGTGTTGGGTTTCGTCAGGATCACGGTACAATGAGCTGGATAAACGAAATACGATCCTTTTATTTGATCCAGACACTGGGATGAGTTTAGATTAGTTAACAGTAATCCCACTGTTGCAGATATATTTTCACGTTAGTTAAAATAATTTTACACGAAGAATGTTATGTTGGAGGAGTGAAATTTGAATCTGTAAATTAATTTTAAATCCACATAACGTATGTTTATCGGACAATCATATTTTTTCTAATTCACATGACGCAATTTATATATTTTAATTCCAAACTATAAGATAATATGGCCAAAAGTGCGTGCTACTGTTCTTTAACGGGACGTTTTCTAATTTCCTAATCCTCAATATATTTACTCTAATATTGTTGTATGGTTGTACTCACCAAGCGTAAACGACGTGGCCAGTAGACATAAGTACAGTATACACCAGCATTGCCGACATAGACCCATGGTTACTGACTAGGAAGTGATACGGCTAGTGAAGTGTGGAGACACCATCGCACCCGCAGCCTGCAACAATGTACAAGTTGACGTTACCAGATATTAAATACATTTGCATAGATCATAACTCTAAACACACGTTGTAAGCTCGTCAATCCACATTTTACGTGGTAAAAAGTTTAAAATAGTTATCTTATTATGTTAAAATACTTATAATAGTTGCAATAGTCATGAAGTTCCAAAAGAAAAGACAACATTTCGATAAGTCAGCTTTCAACGGAAGAAATTAGTTAAGTTCAACAAACCTCTGAGACTTTGTTTAAACATATGCGACACGTGCGAATTCACTTACATAAACACTAGATATATGTTAACAGTATAAGTGCTAAGAAAATCTACTATGGATAACCACTAAAACATAATATATAAGCTTATTTTACACTACCACTGCAGTATTTTAATCTATGCTGAATGTCGATAGTGATTACCACCACTCCACGGCAATGAGATGAACACTGCTAATAATTGTGATGCAAGCTAAATTATAGCTGACGGAATTATTTCCCAATGTTTGCATAGACAGTTAGATCAGTTTTAATTGTTAATTTTCATCAATACAATGAAGTTTGTTCATTTTCATTTATGTGGCTAGAATCAGTTATATTTCAACATAAATGTAATCATTGTTTATACAAGTAGCCTACACAGTTTCATGTTAAATACTACTGCATAGATTTATTTTTCTGAATTATTTTGAATTTTATTATTCTAATTATTTTAACTTTCTTTGAACAAATTTGGACTAGAGCATTCGTAAAAAGTTGACTTTACTAAATAAAACCGAAGATAAATTAGGAAGATAATGTCCAGGGAGAAAGCAGGTGTCATACACAGCCTAGTCTCAGCCTATAATGTTTGCTCGTGCAGATATAATCGACCTGAAGGCACAGAGTTGCAGGGCCAGAGATTATATTGGCAGACAGCCTGTCTTCTCCCAAGGTTGTCCGGTTCAGGTCCGACGTTCCAGTCTCTCCGGTCCGGGCAACCGTAAACAATAATGGCTACCGACGTACGCCTCCTACACCAATATCTGAATAATTCCTAAGAATTTACAAAGCCGTTTTTTGTAGGAAAATTAGGTGGTGATTTAAAACTGAGAGTAAAATAAAAAATAATCCGTCAATCTTGAATTTAGTTTTTTCTTGCTTATAAATACGTTATATTGGATTTAAATATAATTCATGAATGGGTATGTGACTATTATTAGTGTGTATGGAGGAATATGGAAATTGTATCAATTGGTTTACGGTAACGCAATGTTACATTTCTAATATACCTAAATATATTACAATCATAAAAAAATACTTTGATCTGAAATAAGTTAAATATAAAGGAGATTTAATAGAATAATGAGATCGTTAATATTATAAAAAGTGATAATATGTGCAACAATGACAATATGAAAATAATAAACCTAATAAAGTATACCATTTCTATTAGTTGATATAGGCCTAAGAACTATTCTAACACATTTCCATTTGAAATGTATCCAAAACGATTAATTTAGCTTGTCATTAGTTAGGATTTTATATTAAATATTAATATTTTTCCAAAAACTTCATACAAATTACTATTTTCTCAAGTGCTTAGGGAAGTTGGCTACACTTGATTCATTATAGGGCCTATAAGATTTTTCCACAAAAAAGCACGCAAATCTACACACTTGAACAAAGACTTATATTTCCCGATCAAACAAAATCAGTACCAATTTCGCGAACAGCAAAATGAACACGTCGCAGCGCAACGCCATCAAATGATTCATCAAACCGTGAATCACATGGAATAAACCTGGACACAAACGAGCTCCGAGAGAGAGAGATAAAAAGCGAGAGATTGTACCAGCAATCGATGCAGTGTTAAATATGTATCCAGGACTGAATATTCATCATCATGGCTCCACCGACCGCCTGTCGGTCCCGCCAAATGTTTTTGCGCGCGCATTAGTCCGCGTCACCGACCTAAATTGTTTAAAACACTTCTCCTGTTTCACTCATTTTGTGTAATTTGCGGGGATTTTATGCGACCACAGTACCGGATTGTGTATATGTGAGTCGATGCTTAGAGTTATTGTATCTATAATATTTTTATTTTTTATGTCCCCTATACAGGGTGATTGATATAAGTGTGCCAGCCGTTTTATTCGAAAACTATGAGAGGTATAAAAAAAAGTAAATGGTAAGTTCCTTGGATTTTTTATTTAAAAAATTGTAGTCAAGTCAAAAAAAATTATTTTAGCCGCCATTTTTCCAATATGGCCGCCAACTTTGATTTTTCTTATGGAACACCCTGTATTTTATGATTATTCTGGTAGAAAATGTAATTTTAAGACGATTTTATTCTTGTAATTTTTTTCATAAACCTAACCGTTTTAAAGATAATAATGGTTAAAGTTTTGAAATTTCTGCATGAGAAAGAGTTTCGATAAAGGCCTAAGCAAGCATGCCAGCTGTTTTATTCGAAAACCATTCAAAATTTCACAACTTAAACCATTATTATCTTTAAAACGGTTAGAATTATGAAAACAATTACAAGAATAAAATCGTCTTAAAATTACATTTTCTACCAGAATACATCATGGAATACAGGGTGTTCCATAATAAAAATCAAAGTTGGCGGCCATATTGGAAAAATGGCGGCTTAAATAATTTTTTTGACTTGACTATAATTTTTTTAATCAAAAATCCAAGGCACTTACCATTTAACTTTTTTTTATATCTCTTATGGTTTTCGAATGAAACGGCTGGCACACTTATATCAATCACCCTGTATATATCCTTTAGACAATAGCTAGGCTCTATGTTGGCATAGTGTTTTTAATTTTACTTCAGGTAAGTCCTAAAGGTAGCGTTATTATTACTTAAATAAAATCCATTGGTGAAAGGCTGGATTTGAACCCGGGACCTCGGGAACTAATTTCTACGCTCTGCCACTATACCAGATCACTGCACTGTGACCTTTTCAATTGTGCAATTTTCTATATGGGAAGTAATTATTGATACCAATCACCATAACCTTAATAAGTTTACCTTAGTTTATCAAATCTTTATATCATAGACTAGTGTCGGAATAAGATGCGCTTAAAACATCTTCACCAAAGATTGCACAAAATGAAGAATATTAAATCCAACAGGAAGCTCAAGAATGTGGAGTTCATTCGCGGCTCTATCGCGCTTATTTCGTGGTTTCTGTAAATTGCAATGCGGCGTAGGGGATTGCTTTTTGTGGTAATTCTTGGCCAAAGCGTTTTATTCTGTTCATTTTGGAAGTGGTAAAACATGGATTCTTTTGTAGTTATTTCATTGTAAATTATATATTTTAGTAATTCGCTTACAACAGCTTCAGTCTCAAATGCATGATTTCTCATAAGACTTAACTGTTGAAACATGGATGTATATGTGAGTAGATATATATTAGTGTGTTTTTCTTATAATTATGTCTATTAACCATCGTTTTTAACTTTTGTTATTTTGAGGAGTCACCTAACCCTTGGTGATGCTACATAAAAACTAAGTAGATAAAACAGATGATGAGGTTATAGCTCTCGAAGTGTGTCGTAGCATGATGATACACAATTATACCACTGTTGAAATTCATTCAAATTCATGCTTACATTTTGTAAGAGGATAAAAAATACTTCATTTACAAGAAAAAAGTAGCATTTCGTGAAAGAAGTCTGAGAGGAAAATCTCAATACAAAACATAGGGAATATGAAGTCAATACAAAAAGCACGAGGAGGGTTCTGTGAAAAGAGCGGGCAGATGATCAATAACTAATCTGGGAGAGCGGCTGAATGGGCCACTCAAAGACTACCTGCGGGGCTACCTACTGGGGGAGTAATGACTTCCAGCTACAGACGAAATGTAGTCAACAACTGCTGCATCTGGTCCAACAACAACTACAACACCTAGACTACCTGCGGGGCTACCTACTGGGGGAGTAATGACTTCCAGCTACAAACGAAATGTAGTCAACAACTGCTGCATCTGGTCCAACAACAACTACAACAGCTAGACTACCTGCAGGGCTACCTACTGGGGGAGTAATGACTTCCAGCTACAGACGAGACGTAGTCAACAACAACTACTGCATCTGGTCCAACAACAACTACAACACCTAGACTACCAGCAGGGCTACCTACTGGGGGAGTAATGACTTCCAGCTACAGACGAAACGTAGTCAACAACTACTGCATCTGGTCCAACAACTACTACAACACCTAGACTACCAGCAGGGCTACCTACTGGGGGAGTAATGACTTCCAGCTACAGACGAAACGTAGTCAACAACTACTGCAGCTGGTCCAACAACAACTACAACACCTAGACTACCTCCAGGGCTACCTACTGGGGGAGTAATGACTTCCAGCTACAGACGAAACGTAGTCAACAACTACTGCAGCTGGTCCAACAACAACTACAACACCTAGACTACCAGCAGGGCTACCTACTGGGGGAGTAATGACTTCCAGCTACAGACGAAACATAATCAACAACAACTACTGCAGCTGGTCCAACAACAACTACAGCACCTAGACTACCTGCGGGGCTACCTACTGGGGGAGTAATGACTTCCAGCTACAGACGAAACATAATCAACAACAACTACTGCAGCTGGTCCAACAACAACTACAGCACCTAGACTACCTGCGGGGCTACCTACTGGGACAGTAATGACTTCCAGCTACAGACGAAACATAGTCAACAAAAACTACTGCAGCTGGTCCAACAACAACTACAACACCTAGACTACCTGCAGGGCTACCTACTGGGGGAGTAATGACTTCCAGCTACAGACGATACGTAGTCAACAACTACTGCATCTGGTCCAACAACTACTACAACACCTAGACTACCAGCAGGGCTACCTACTGGGGGAGTAATGACTTCCAGCTACAGACGAAACGTAGTCAACAACTACTGCAGCTGGTCCAACAACAACTACAACACCTAGACTACCTCCAGGGCTACCTACTGGGGGAGTAATGACTTCCAGCTACAGACGAAACGTAGTCAACAACTACTGCAGCTGGTCCAACAACAACTACAACACCTAGACTACCAGCAGGGCTACCTACTGGGGGAGTAATGACTTCCAGCTACAGACGAAACATAATCAACAACAACTACTGCAGCTGGTCCAACAACAACTACAGCACCTAGACTACCTGCGGGGCTACCTACTGGGACAGTAATGACTTCCAGCTACAGACGAAACATAGTCAACAAAAACTACTGCAGCTGGTCCAACAACAACTACAACACCTAGACTACCTGCAGGGCTACCTACTGGGGGAGTAATGACTTCCAGCTACAGACGATACGTAGTCAACAACTACTGCAGCTGGTCCAACAACAACTACAGCTAGACTACCTGCAGGGCTACCTACTGGGGAGTAATGACTTCCAGCTACAGACGAGACGTAGTCAACAACTACTGCAGCTGGTCCAACAACAACTACAGCTGGGGAGTAATGACATCCAGCTACAGACGAAACATAGTCAACAACAACTACTGCAGCTGGTCCAACAACAACCAATGCAGGTGGTACAACAACCAATGCAGGTGGTCTAAAAACAATTCAACCAAAACTGGCGGTCCACAACAACAGCTACAGCTGGCAAAAGAACAACCACTACAGCTGGTACAACAGCAACAACTACAGCTGATACAAGAATAACCACTAGTTGGTACAACTGTACAACAACAACCAGTAGAGCTGGTCTAACAACAACTTCAACAAAAACTTTAAGAATAATGTCTAATAATGACTCCTAGCTGCAGACTAAACGTAGTCAACAGTTGCAGATAGTGCTACAATAACTACTGCATATGGTTCAACAACAACTTCTACAGCTTGTTCTAAAAGCAGGTTATTCCATATTGAGAACATTTTTGTTTGAAAAATTCGCATCGTAAAAAGAGTGAACCCATGTGAAACTCAATCCGAATGCAAAAACTCCTAGTAGATTTATCATCATCATGTTCAAATTTTTTTGAAACCCTCTATGGTCATTGTTCTTATAAGGAATAACAAATTTATTTTAAGTTACGTTGGTATGGTGGACTACATGAGCTTTAAGGAATGGCAAAGTAGCTAAGTACTCCCGACCCGCACAAATTTTAAACTATCGCTCCTTATTTTGAATGCGAATTCATAGACACAGCTCAATATTGCCAGTTCATACGTAGATTCAGGTTCATGGCTTTGCGTAAATTAGATTTTGTTTCTTGTGACTAAGAAACAAATAGTATGGGCAATATAAATATGATGTTGTCCAATTTATTCAATATAAACTTAATAAACATAGTACCTACTTGTAATAATAAATATAACATGTTGTACGAAACTACATGAAATAATAGCGAATCGCAAAGAACCTCATCGATGCTCAATCCGCTCATAATCCCAACACTGTGTATTAACACAAACTGACTACAAATGAAACGTTTTAATATTCCTTCATCCCTAAAAGCAATCCGAATCATATTAATTACGGCAAAAATGCACTGAAAGCTTTGTGTTGCTACAAAAATCCAATGTTCGCTTTTTCAGGAAATAATTAGCAGTGTCCATGGTCGAAATATTTGATGAATAAATTATAAGCATTATTAAAACGGAACAGTATCAGATTTGATGAAACCGTACCGATACGCGGGGTTTTAATTTGACAGTGGATGTTTGAGTTTGATGTAATTGGGTTTGTACGACTGTAGCAGCCGTGCGGACAATTGTGTTGGATGTTTTTGCAATAAGTTCGTCACTCATTATCAATGTTTACAGTTGGCATCATTGCGCTAAGTCAACAGACCGGGTTTATTTGTAATGAATATAGGTTGGTTTGTTTCCAGCTGGGTTTATAACGTATTATTGAATTACATTTAACAATAAATTGTGCAGCTTATGAAAGTGGAAACTATAGTTCGGCCGCTTAGAAAACGACCTGCGCGCTAATGCTAAACCAATGTTGGAGGAGGTCGCTTTCTAAGCGGCCGAACTATAAGTGTAAACACCGTATTTAGTTATGGGTAAGTGTATGAATGTTTACTAATAGTGAATATATATTAATATTCTTTTATTTATTCCATTATTGATGAGGCAATAGTTTATCATTAATACAAAGAAGTGGAAATGAGCAAATTAAGAAAATAATAATATTATTTTAAAAGTATTTAATAAACTAATTGTATAGGATTTTTCTTACAATAAATTAGGAATGGCAAGGGTTAAGTGTATAAACGCCAGATATTTAGGAGAAGTAGGAGAGGTAGACATGTAACAAACATACTTCCAACCGAGCCTCAACATTTGCCTTGAAGGAAACAAATTATACTTGAAAATAATCCAAGACAAGAATTCTCGGTTTAAATCAATGAAACCGTCAGATAAAACAATATTATCTGACATCCCGAGCAAATAACAAGGACCCAAGTGATATACAGTCGAATGCTAAGTGAAACAGGTGGTTTTATGTGAAATAAAAACCTGACCGGGATATATGTATTATTTAAGTCGCCGTCTGGGAATGATAAATCGTCTTCGACCACCCATGGGGCGCTTTATGTCCTGTCTTCACTGTTCTTGGATTCCGTGATCGTTCGTAACCCATAAATCGCAGCCGGAGTTAGCAGAAAGTGCGCACTTAGTCCTGTATTTGTAATTCCACGGGGACGAGTTGAGCGTTTCAGTGCGGTTTTATTTGTCAGTCCGCGGCTACATCCACGGACCGCAAGCCTCATTAATATACCATTATTTGTTTTGTCAGGGTGATATTTCTCCGTAATGTAACAGGTCGGGGTCAGTCACGATGATGTGGTTCTCCCGAGAAGGCGTGGGTTCCAACACAAGCACTCACCTACACACACACACACAAGCACTCTTTGTTTAAGCCGTAGTGTGACGTTGATGCATGCGCACGCTGAATCATTAGTCCAGACAATCTACGATCGAAAACCACCGTCCATTAATTGTATGTATTATATTAATTACAATACCGTCTAATTAATGCGCTCCGTCGACCAAACGCTGGCTGCATTTTTCATCTGAACAAACGAGCTATACAAAGGTTTACCAATTGTGTCTTTATACCGACACGTGGCGCGCGGCGCGGGGAACAGTTACAGTTCTGACAATGTTGTAATGCGTCAAAGAACACCTCCCAACGCGGCATGGAATTTGTCGACAAATGACGAATATTGTAAGCTTTCTTTGTGGATTGTTACCAGGTATTACGAGGTTGTTTGAGTTTCGTTGGAAAATCAATTACATACTTTAACTAATTAGTTGTATGTATTGGATCAAATTATTTTGAAGATGCAGTATTATAACGAAATACACATGTTCAATACATTATTATGTTTTAAAGAGCAAGTATGCAATGGTTTGAATAAATCTTTTATATAACGGTTGTAAAATATATAAATTAGAATGAAATGGATTTAATTTAATTTGTGTATGAAAATTTGATCCTCGGGCTATGGCGTGAGGAAAGATTACACTACATTCTTAATTCTCTTCTTATTTACATTGGCGTATGCCATGACTTAAGAGGTAATTGTATTTATAAATTGTACTAACACACAATTAATCAGTTAGTGAAGATTATACCTAAGGGTTTATACTGACTAAACTAGGTATTTAAAAATTAATTTTATACTTTTTAAATGTAGATTAAGTAGGTAGTTGGGTAAATTTTACTTTTTTCGATTTATTAAAATTTCAATCTTAATGCACTGGTTGATTTTTCTTTTGTAAATTAGATCTTAGGTCTCTCTTGTAATTATAAAGATATAAGGATATTAGATCATAAATATATTAAAATCATTAAGGCTTAATAAAATGCATTTAAAGCAGGTGATCAAATGTGACTAAAAAATCTCCTTTAATGTACAATTTTCTATTGACTACCCATACACACTAACCTAACGCCAATATGCCTATCTCAACACGGGTTAAATAATGGCAATGTGTCGTTAACATTGTTTACGTGAATTACGTACAGTACTTTACATACGACAGTGTTTTAATTACTAAAAATCACTACCCATATATTCTTGAGATCATGTTTTCGTTTATAACCTCCCATTGATTGTGGTGCAAAGACTTATTATCCCTACCAATGACTCATCGTTTAATCAATTAATTTGGTCTTAACAGCTGATAAGTTGACTTTGAAGAAATACAATTTAACTCTTTTTCTCTCAATCCTTGAACCTCATTGGTCAGTTACTCGCGTTTTAAAGTAAAACAATGCTTTTAAGTAAGTGAACAATGATGTTAAGTGAATCTTTTCAATTATTAGGACTGGACTGAAACGGCTATTAAAAAAAAAAAATGGTTGTATATTAAATACTATAACACCATAAGCAAATATGAAACAGCTCCAGAAGGGTGTTGAGAAACGGCAGGTGTGTACAAAGAGTTTCGCACAACTCGAGGTAAGCTTTATGATACTTGGGTAATATCCATTCTCTTGAAAAGCCTATGAAACACACTGGACCGTGAACAACAATATAGAACCTCGCTGGTTTAATGGGATCGTTCTTTCTAGCGATTCATTATTTATAAGAGTTTCAATGTTTAAAGCAGTTGTGTGCCAGTCTCTTGCGTCACAGAAAACATATTACTATAACCCAGAATGCCAACCGCGTGGTAAAAAGCATTAAGTGTTTTGAGAGAGCTTTGCCTGTCAATCGTAGGCAGCGCCACTAGCGTTGCCATGCACTCAGCATAGCAACGCTGGTGGCGCTGCCTACGATTGACAGGCAAAGCTCTCTCAAAACACTTAATGCTTTTTACCATGCGGTTGGCATTCTGGGTTATAGTAGTATGTTTTCTGTGCTTGCGTCTTTGTAGGTTCATGATTACATTTTCAGATAGTATTGTTAAACTTTATTAGCATGTAGCTAGTTATTTGCACTATTTTGAAACATTTTAGTATGGAAACTATACGGATTTTCTTTTGTGAAAATAACAACATACTAAACGTTTAAATGAAACAGTAACGTTCTAATTTTATATGGGAAATCTAAAAATAGGATTTTCGCAAGAACTGTCGTTTTTGTTATGGGCCTAGTCTAAATGCTAAGTTTAAAATTTAATTTGTTATGAATTACTTATATATTTCTTTGGGTGGACTTCAGATTTTCGCTGATCATCGTTAACCTAGATTAAGTTCATTTTGACATTATCACTATACTACCACTCATATAGGCAAAGATCTACCATATGACAATGAACGTATTTATTTATTTTAAGAGTTGGGTTTCGGAAAATTATAAAAACAAATTTGTTTTTGAGTGACACATAGGCAAAGATTACTTGGAGAACAGTTCGAGAGCTCACTTGATTTTATCCCTATCCTTTTCTAAAATGAAGGAAAGGGGCAAGGTTTCTGTCACTAAACAAAATTATATTAGCGCATTGATTACAAAAACAGTTTCAAAACAACTCAAATATTTTCATTCAAGTCATTACAGTATCACCCTACCAAAAATATACTGCAAATTAATACATAACTCTCCATCAAGATTGGTTCCCAGTCAATAATTACTTGTGAAGTGAGGTAATATAT